TAAAATTTTGCTTCCACTTCACAATTGTATACCACTTTGTGTTGGTCTTTCACATTAAATTCCAGTGAAATATATATATGTTTGTGGTTGTAATGTGACAAAATATGGAAAAGTTCAAGGGGTATGAATACTTTTGCAAACCACTGTATGTGAGTGAGAAATGCAGGGACATAAACTTTGGAGCTAAGGCACCTTTAGCTCCTGAACCTCAGACAGTCAGTCTAAGTCTTCAGTAGGTGAAAGATTGCAGGTTTCAGGAGAACCCAGAGTCAGGGTGGGCCCGCGGGCCATAGAGAAGGTTGAAGAGGAAGCAGAGTTTATAGGGCCTGGTTCAGTTGGGGTGGAGATTATCTCCTGCAGTGCAATGGTAACAGGAGATTGCATCAGCCGCTGGTGAGGGGGGCGGGGCCTAAGTGCAGGTCTGAGTTCTCCAACAAGTCAACCATGAGATTTATTTTCCCTAATTGAGAAAATTAAAAAAGTTAACTTGATTTTCTGCAGAGTCAAAGTGAAGTGAATGACCTTCATCGTGACGCCTGCAACGAACTCTGAGCTGCCAGAAAACGGTTGCAGCTTCAGCCAAAATGTAAGAGAGCAGACAACAAAGTTGCAAAGATCTCTGCAGCTGCTGCAGAACTCAGGAAAACTGGAGCCTGGATGCTGCATTTCTCTGCTGTTCAGCACCAGCCTGTCACCTGACGCTAAGTCTTTAGAGCTCATGGTGTGATATTTACACATCCTTACTCTTTAACCAGTGTCAGCCTGAGCAGACAGGCTCACACAGCCGGACTGGCCTGGGCTGACCCAGAATCCTCCAGCTGCAGCCGGTTATAAATGTCTTCACTTTGCTTCAGGTTGTGTTCAATCCAAAGCAGAGTCCAAGGTTGCAGTCGGTCTTATTTTGTCTCACGTTCTGCTCTGAAAGGTTTAATCTGAATCAGGTTCAGATGAGAACTGAAACTCCCCAAGTCCCAAGACACCCAAAACTTTACCACCAACCCTAACTRAACTCTCCTACAACCAAAACAAAGYCAGAGAGCAATTCAAGACAACCGTGAACCTCTAGTGGTGGAACCAGACTTCTGCAGACCGGAGCCAGAATCCTACAGAACCAATTTTACACTTCTACAATTTTAGATGACCCCTTTATAAAGCTGGTGGGCAATAATGTAAAACTTAGAGTTGATCACACAGAAACAGCTTCTGTCCAGTTTGTAATTTGTCTGAGTTAAACAGCGGCCTGAAGCTTTCACATAGAGAGCAGCATTTTTTTGTTCTGTTTAATATTTGAGGATAATTTAATGGCATTTTTTATTTCTACTGATTTTAGCTGATTTTTTTTATTAGGTTGGATTTTAGGCCAAGTCTGTGGTCAAATGATATTAAGAACCTGAACGGAATATTAAAGAGGAAAATGCTAAAAGCTAAAATAAGCACAAAAATAACTAAAAAGAGTAAAATGCTAGCTAGAAGCTAAACGCAGGACAAAGCGCAAAAAAGCAAAATGCAAGCTGAAGGCTATAAGCAAAGATGGTTACAAAGAGAAAAACGTTAGCTAGAAGCTAAAAGGAAGTAAAGATAGATAAAAGAGCAAAATAGTAGCTTAAAGCTAATACAGTGTAGCAGTTGTGAGTGAAGAAATAATGGTGATGAATTTCTCCAAGAAACAACTTCATGGTCAAGAGGTTAGAAGACTTGCTTCATGCTGCAAAAGATAGCTAAAATGAGCAAAACACAAGCTAAGATCTAAAAGCAAAGATGGCTGCATAGAGCAAAATGGTAGCTAAAAGTTGTAAATACTGAAACACTAGATAAAAAAACAAAACAAAAATGCACAATATGACACTAAAAATGGGATCAATAGGATGCTTTAAAGTTTATTTTTCCTTAATTACAATGTTTTTTTCTGTGTTTTGTTGGGGTTTTTTTGTGCATTTTGTGAGAATTAAACAATTACCTACTTAAGGATGAGATGTTCTTCTCATCCTTAAATACAGCTTAGTTTTATTAAAACTGGGCCTTATGACTCTGTTTATCTTTTATTTAGTCAACATGGACTACATTTTTTTAACAACTTTTACAATTTTTCATTTTATTTTATTGTTTTAATTAAACAGAGTCGAGAAACCCAACGGATATTTTCACTCTGTTCTTTTGTCCGTGTCCATCCAGACCTGGAAATCAAATATTTTTAAGACAGCGAAGGTTGTCTGAAGGTATGGTTGTGATGTTGGAGGTGATATTTTGGAGCCTTCCCCGTGGCTTCAGACTCCAGTTTGGGCCTGAGAACTGGGACATGTCTGACTCCACATAAAGCCCTTTCATTATGTACTAGATCCTGGCAAAGCCCTGTGTGATCTGGCCCCTGGTCGAATCCAGCTTTCACGTGACTGCACCCACCCGCACACACACAAACACACACATATAATWTCAGGTCAGGCCCTTCACAGACAGCAACATGTGCAGCGTCTCGCCGCAGGAGCCGGGGACAGTCTCAGACAAAGGTAATCTCTAGCTGAAGGTCGGCAGCTCTGTCCTGTAATAAAGTCGAGCAGAGATTCTCTAAAGGTCAGGTGGGAACCTGGCAGAACATCGGTGAGGCAGAGTGGTTCATTTGGTTCATGCTACTTTATCAACCAAGAAATTKTTATGGTAACTTAATAAAACACCCTGACTCTGCCTAGCTGTACCGTTCAGCTTAGAACACCAAGCGTGTTCCAAGAATCAGCTGAGTCACACTGTGACTCTTCACATCATCATCTCACAGCAACAGACACATCAAGAAAAGTCACTTGTGCGAAGCAGTTAATGATTCATGCCTTTTCTGCATGCGGACAAATAAAACCAGTTTTAAAACACACCCTCACTAAAGGCTCTCCCTTTAAATTTGTTATTTTTAAACTATTACCTATTTATGGATGAGATGTTCTTCTCATCCTTAAATACAGCTTAGTTTTATTAAAACTGGGCCTTATGACTCTTTTTATTTTTTGTATAGTCAACGTGGACTACATTTTACTACTATTTTTAAACTTCAACTTATTAGCATAAGGCTCATAGTATAATCTTTTAGCATGAACAGTCTGCAGCTCTTAGAAGCTGTTATTAAGCTCCTTATTTCTATTTATTTTATTAAATTTGCTTATTGACACATTTAGCTAGCAAATTGTTTGGCCATTTTTTAAAATTAAAATATGTATTAAACTTTTCAGAGATATTACCCAGTATATAATATTATACGTATGAATATGTATTTCGCTGCTGACAGTGGGTTTTGTTCGGAAGCGTAAGGGAATGATTTAAGAACAGTACAGTATATTTTTCTATGTTTAAAGAATCAAAAAAACAACACCAAAAATCTCCACTCTGGCTAAAGCTAACCCCAGAGCTTTAAGTTTCCTGATATGACAGATTACTACAACTACATTGCCCACCCAACACTTCTAACACGCTTCGAAGAATAAAAGCCTCCAGGGAAGGGTTGAAATACAAGATGTGGAGGAATGTACGGTCCTCCCCTGCCTGCTGATGCCCCTGTCTCTCTCTCTGCCTCCCTCAAGGTCAGGGTGAGGGTTTTTCCACTCTCTCACAGCTTGTGAAACCACCACAGCAGAGATAGTAAAGTTGGGGGTGGGTGCAGGGGATCCTTTCACACCTAAGCTTTGACAAAAAAATAAAAATAAATAAATATCTGTTTTCTGGGGAAAGGTGTGTCTGGAAATCCCAACGTGAGAACAGAAACAAGCTAAACGCAACGTAAAGTGCTGGTATTTAAGCGTGTTTATATAATACGGAGTTAAAATGCGGTAATTATGTTTTAAAAAAAGAAAAAAAACTGGGTGAATGTGTGTTGTATCCTTCCATTACATGCAGCAGAGTAGTGCTGTCTGAAAACCAACAGAGCTGCTGCTCCCTTGTGGCAGCTTACTGTAATTACACCAAATTAAAAAAGCTGCTTATCGTCTCATCATCCATCCATTATCTTTACACACTTCTTAAAATGCGTGTGTCGAAAGGTAAAACAAGACAAATAAATAAGAAAAGCCAAGGGGGGGCCAACAATTTTTTAGGGGTAGCCTTTGCCCCACCTGGCCCCGCTTTGATGAAGCCCATGATCAGAAAAATAGGTCAATCATGATAGTTATCATAGTTTGGCATTTCCTTTCACCCCCTACCCACCCCTTCCCACTCCAAAAAAATAAAAAAATAAAAATAGCGTGAATGCCAACCAGCAGTATGATATTAAGTCATTTCCCAATCTGGCAACCCTGCTCCCATTGACCAGCTTCTCTTTTTGTTCTACCGGTGTCAGATAGGGGACAAGCTAAAATTATCCCATGACCGTCTATGGAGAGTGGAGGAAGAGGAGCACATGCGTGTGAATGATTGAGGGGTAAGATGATAAGGTGGTTGCACACGACGTGCAGACCTTCAACCCTGAGCGGGCGAGAGCGCACYGGTCCAAACAGCCTTCACACTTTGAGAGGTTTTGTTTGAACAGGACTGTGTGTTGGTGTAATAACGACACGAGGGGGGCTGTGAGAAGCTGAGTTTTGGGTTTTAGGATGACGACAAAAAGTGGAGTTCTAGCTTGAACAAAATGTTAGTTTTCAACAGGCTGGCAAGGAAAAAAAACACGTCTGTCCAACTGTGCAGCAAACACAAACCACCATCTGTGAGCCGATCACACGCTGACTAATGTTTCTAATTTACAGGCCGCTGTGACGCCAATTATAATCATGCCACTCCTTAAATCAGGCTCCAATTACTAATGAAAGAGCAGATTTATTAGAGCTCCTGCGCGACATTAAGGAGCATGTTTTCCGCTTTAACGTGGAGGTACTTACAGGAAACAGCACGATGGGGACAGTCAAGGTGACGGCGGTGAGGACAGCCAAACGCACCAGCAGCAGCAAGGTGTCAAACTTGTACACTTTGGTGAAGGTGTGCAATAACTCCGCCTCCACGTTATCTGAGTCAGACAGGAAATGAAAGCAGCTTTTAACTAAAATCTGATAGGATGTATGAAAAAATGAATTAGAAGGTGAGACGGATTGGCGCTCTTACCGTAAAACGTGAGGTAGCCGAAGAGCGCAGATAACATATACATGATGAGCATGGCCAAGATGGACAGGTTGGACACATTCTGCATTTTTCTACGGCTGCGACTGAAATGCAACAAAAGGTAAAAAATAACAATAAACATTTTGCTTTTTGAACAAAAACTCATGTCAGTGGAAAAGTCAAAGGGTTAGGGTTAGAATGAGGGTTAGCTGTAAAACAGGAAGAAGTGAGCCTACTCTTTCAGCTCGCTGTAGATCGGCAGCACCTCTGGATGGCAGACGAATGCAAACGCCAGGATGGGTATGGTGTAGGCCGTCTGTAGAAAAACATCAACATAAAGATCAGTAAGACAAGTGAAAACAGGCCGAGTTTCAAACTTTAAATTGTGTGATGTTGGCATCAACAATATCAATAACAGCCCAAGGTGTGACATAAAAGCTGGATGAAATTTTAGTTTTATTATGCTTGTCAACATTTTTATTGTTGCTAGTGCTCTTTATTTATATTTTTTGTATACTGGTAATTTGTTGTGAAAAAGTGGATTTATGCTGTTAGTTTCCATGCTTTTATCATGGCTG